AGGATCCCGGTACGACTCCGGCTAGGAGGATATGGACATCGGTTGATGTTGGTACAGAGATTTATGAAGATGAAGAAGCAATTGCTGAATGGCATCTTTCTGATTTCGATGTTGTCATTACTTCAGCAAGTAAATATAATTAAAATACAAATAAATCTTTCTATTTGCAGTTTCAGTTTGTAATAGAGATTTATTGGGCCCAATGATCGTTTTAATTTTCTGATTATAAATGCCCATTTAGGGTCTAACGGCTAATAATAATGTCTTGTCGAAACATTACTGTCAATGCAACGGTAAAATTATACAAAATCTAGCCGTTAAACACACAACAACAGCTCTTTAAATTCTCCTTAAAAACCCTTTCGAGATTACTTATTTTTTTTCTCAAATTTTTTCTTCTTCTTCTCCACCAATTGTAAGAAATTAATCTCTTTCTCTCTAATTGTGGAAAAACGAGAACGGCAAATCGGTTAGGGACACACCGCCGGTGAATCCAACTCCGCCTCTCTTCCCGTGGCTTATGCAACTCCTTGTTCTCCTCATCTTTTTGATTGTGCGTATGTGTTAAACTTGTTTCTGATTCTTGACATATGTTTGGGTTTTTTTTGTCTTTTTTAATTTCAGGAAGATCCCAAATTCTACAGAAGATCTTTAACTATGGTGACAAAAAAGGAGTATATGTTTCCGTGATCATTAAATCTAATACGGTAAATTTCCAATCTTTTGAAAATTGATATGTTTAAACTTTTTAGTTTATACAAGTTTTACTAAGAAAGACGTAGACTTTATGATGCAGATAATCTCTGTAACTTTGATTGTGTTTTTTTTTTTCCCACTTTATTAATGTATGTATAAAATTTGATTTCAGAAGAATGTTGCTGTATGTATGCGGCTGGGCTGGCCCAAGGACGCATGAGGATCAGGCGGATAACATCAAAACCTAGGTAGTTATTTGTTTTTTACATTTATCTATTTTTTAAAAATATATATTATAGGATTTTTAAAGAAAATTTAAGTGATAAATTTATATATGTGGTGTGAAAACAAACCAAATATGATGTGCTGTCTTTAACTTGTCCGTTAGCGATGTCATATGTGATCACACTATATCGTAAATTAACACTTAAGTTTTTTTACATATTTTTAATTTTTTATCGGATTTTTAAAGAAATTTTAATTTAAGTGATAATTTATATATGTGGTGTGAAAAAACAAACCAAATATGGTGTTTTGTCATTAATTTGTCTGTTAACGATGTCATATGTGATCACACTATATTGTAAATTAACACTTAACTTTTTGTACATAATTTTATCGGATTTAAATAGAAATTTAAGTGATAAATTACGTAAAAAATATATTTATGTCATAAATTTATTTATAATATGGTGTCTAGTAATTTGTCCGTTCTATTTAATATATATTCAAATTATATTGTAAATTAACACTTTTTTGGTCAATTACATGTATCTTTTTTACGTTGTTTTGGGTTTACCAAATTTTAATAGTTTGTATTTTATAGATTTTTTAACAGGTAAACATGACCTATTATTAGATTTACATTACCGGATATTTTTGAAAAATAGAGTGATATTTACGGTGTGCACAAAATCAGTGTTTTTTTTTTCTCTCTTTCAAATCAGACTAAATTAATTCAGTTTGTGCAGTAACGGTACTATCAAGAAAAGAGTGTACTAATTTAACCAACCAAACCAACGGTCAC